AGGACGGAGGAGGCGACGGCAGAAGGGGAGGACGAGACGCGTGGGAAGGAAGCAACATAGGGTGGGAGCGCAAGACAGGCGAGGCAGGACGAGCGCGGGAGGGACGGTGAGACCAGACGTGCGACGGAGGAGTCGGGCCAGGAGACAGAGGAGGGGACACAGGAGGGGAACGAGGGGGGAGACGGGCCGGGGACGAGTCCGGCGGAGGGAAGACAGGGCCGTAGACAGGAAGAGGAGGAGACGGCCGGGGAGGAACCGGCGCAGGGTCGGGGGACGGAAGGCCGAGCAGGCGAAGAGCGGACACCGGCGGGGACTGCTGCTGCGGCGGCACAACGGCGATACCGGGACCGCAAGCTGCTCCTCGGCTACCACCGACACTCTCCACACCAGCACCCCCAGAGGGACCACCCCCAGAGTCAGCGAACGGGTGCTGCGACGGCGGCGGCGGCGGCAGCGACAACGACGGCTGCAGCGGCGGCAGAGGCGGTGGAGGGGGGGACTGGGGAGGGGCGGCCGGCGAGGACTGAACAGGAGGGCCACCAGAGTCAGAAGACTCCTCAACCGGGTCCACCGACGGAAGGGGGGTGACGTGGGACACACCAGAGGGGGCGGGATGGGGAGGAGGAGGAGGAGGGGCAGGGACTACCGGGGAAGGAGTGACCAGGAACAGGGGGGGTGTTACCGGGGGACCACGGTGAGGGAAGCGACAGTAGTAGGAGACGGACTCGTCAAAGGTGACGTCACGAGAGTGAAAGAAGCGGTGAGACGACGGGTGGTAAAAGTGCCAGTCGGACACGTCAAGGGGAAAACCGAGGAAGACGCAGGGAAGGGTGCGGGCAGTGAGCTTGTCCGTGCCGGAGGCACGGACGTGAGCAAGGCAGCCCCAGACGTGGAACGCAGACGCGTCACCAGGAGACCCAGTCCAAAGACGAGTCGGCGAAACCTGCGGCTGCTGAGGGTGCGGCCACAAGTTAAGCTGGTGAGCAGCGTAGCGCACAGCGAACGGCCACAGAAAATGGGGTGCACCGGCATGGATCATGGAGGTGCGAGCCACCTCCATGACCAAACCGATGCGTCGCTCAGCGACCCCATTCTGCTGTGGGGAGTCCGGTAGGGTGAACGTCTGGGTGATGCCCTCCGCACGACAAAAGCGACCAAGGGCACCTGAGGCAAACTCGCCACCACGGTCGGAGTGAAGACGCAAGACAGGGAGACCGCGGTGGACACGCGCAGAGACAAGCCAGGGGATGAGAGCGCCAGGCACGTCGGCCTTGCGCTCCAGGGGAAAGACTGTGGTGTAACGAGTGAAGTCGTCGACAAGCACAAGGAAGTAGCGCTCTTGACGCGGCCCAGGGACGGGGGCGGGGCCCCAGACGTCCAGGTGCAGGGTCTGCAGCGGCGCGGCGGTAGGGGGAAACGAGGAGGAGTGCGGGGCACGGCGAAGCCGACCCTCAACACAAGGCGTGCAAGGTGGGGCTGGGGAGGAGGGAAACGGGGGGGGGGAACCTGGGAGACCATGGACAAGACCATGCTGGGACATGTGACGCAGACGCGGGAGCGCAGGGTGACCTAGGCGGTGGTGCCAAAGGAGAGTCGGGTGAGTGAGGGACCGACAGGAGCAGGCAGCAGCAACCTGGGGAGGCGCCCCAGCCGGGGGGGTCACGGTGTCCAGAGTGAACAGGCCGGACACCGGGTCCCGGGGGAACGTGGTAAGGGGGGCACCAGTGGCGGCCTCGGTACAGACAGCATACCGCTCGTGACCAGGGAACGTAGTGGCGACGCCAAGGTCCTGGAGGCAGCCGACACCAACTAGGTTCCTGGAGAACGAGGGGATATTGCAGACCTGTGAGAGAGCCCGAAGGAACCGCCGGACAGGGAAGGGTGGTGGAACTGCGGGCGACGACCGGACCGCCGGAGGGGTCAGCAAGAGAGACAGCAGCTGGGACAGGAAGCGGCGTCAGGGTGGTGGAGTCGCGGAAGAAACACCGAGAAGCGCCAGAGTCCAAGGTGAAGGAAAGCGAAGCAGAGGCGTCTGGCAACGGAACGACGGCGGAAGCACCAAGACTACACAAAGCAGGGGATCCTACGCCTGACGCAGCAGGGGAGGCTAAGCTAGGCACACCTACACTAGGCAACAGTGAGTAATAAGCGGGAAGCACACTAGAGTCATCAGCATACATCACATGCAGAGCAGCAACAATGGCATCCATGTCCATATCAAAAATCTGAATCTTACGACTAAGCAAACTGTGCCAGTCCGGGAGGTCTGGCGACGGGCCGAAGCGCTGACGAAAGAGGTCGTCCAGGCGACAAAACAGCGGGGAGTGGAGTGACCGATCTTACCGCAAACGAAGCCGCGGCGAGGACCGGTCTGGATCTGGTACTGACAGCGCCCGCCGCCAGAGCCACCACTCGGCACACCACCACGCGCCCGGCCACCGCCAGCGCCGGGCCACCCGGGCGGGAGGACACTCGTCTGCCGCGTCTGCGACGGCTGCTGCGGCTGCTGCGAAGGCTGCGACTGCGGCGGCTGCTGCAACTGCAGGGGCGGCGGCTCAGCTGGACTGGGCAGGGCCCCCTCGTCCGCTCCAACACCAGACGACCCGACCCCACCACTACCCCCTCCCGCACCCCCGCCGCCGCCGCCGCCGCGCCCAACCTTGGGGCGGCGGCCCTTCCCCGAACGAAACTGCGCTGCAGCAGCAGTCTCAGCCACTACGGCAGAGCCGTCGGAGAAGGTACACTGGGCGGGGGCACAACCCTGAAAGATAGGGACCGGCACGACACCGCTCGCCTGGGCGATGGAGCGGTGACGGGTCTCTATCACAGTCAGGGTGTCTACAAAGTCAGTGAGGGTGAGGTCTGCGGGGTGAATGCTAAGGAAGCGGTCGCGGGCGACAGCAAGGCGGTCAGGGAGGCGGGTGGCAAGCAGGTAGAGGGTAGAGGTAATGGGCGGCTGGTGGGCTCTAAGCTGTGCATCAGTGCAGGCTGCACGCCAGGTCTCATCTATCGAGCGCAGGTGGGCAGCGAGGTCAGAGACAGTGGGGAAAGATGCAAGGTCAGGAAAGAGCATCGGGAGGATCAGGCGACCCACCGAGGCAGCCGGAGGGGTGGAATAGCGCTGGATGACAGCATCTAAGTATGCCTGAGCAGTGGTGAGAGACCTAAAGCGAGGGCGCTCGGACGGGGGAAGGGCGTTGCTGATGGCAAGCTGGGCGACAGCATCGCGAGAAAGCCAGACAGAGCGCGCACGGGCAGTGGCAGCAGTGGACTCGCGCTCAGTGGGTGTGGAGTCAGCGGGCAGAATAGCAGGGGGGCCTGGGCAGGGGAGCGTACCGTCAAGGTGTGCGGAGAGCGGTTCACCATCCTGCCGCTGGCCAGTGAGTTGGCGACGGAGGTCGGCAAGCCACGCCTCGAACTCCAGAGGCTGGCCTTCAGCGTCGAAGCGAAGCTTCGCCGCCATCAGGAACAGTGCAGTGCGGTGCAGGGCAGTGCAGCAAGGTGGAGTGCGGTGCCGTGCGGTACAGTGCGATGCAGTGCGGTGCCAGGCAGTACAGGGTGGTGCGGGGCGGTGCAGTGCGGGGCAGTACGGTGCAGGGCAGTGCAGGGCGGGGGGGGGGGGGGGAGGGGGGGGAAACCGTACCAGTGAGGAGGACCGGGGCCGGGGCAGGGACGAGCGCAGGGGCCGGGCCGGTGCAACGGGGCCGGGCGGGCGCGACGGGGCCGGGCTGGTGCGACGGGGCCGGGCGGGTGTGTCGGGGCCGGGCTGGTGCGACGGTGCCGGGCCGGTGCGACGGGGCCGGGCGAGCAGGACGGTGGCCCAGGAGGGGCGCACCGAGGCTGGGCGGGCGCAACGGGGCCGGACGGGTGCGACGGGGCCGGGCGGCTGCGACGGGGCCGGGCGGCTGCGACGGGGCCGGGCAGGGGGCGACGGGGCCGGGCGGGCGTGACGGGGCCGGGCTGGTGCGACAGGGCCGGGCTGTTACGACGAGGCCGGGCTGGTGCGACGAGGCCGGGCTGGGGCGACGGGGCCGGGCGAGCGCGACGGGGCCTGAAGGCGTGACGGGGCCCCGGAGGGGGGGGCTCGACGCGGCCCAGGAGGGGCGCTACGGGGCCCAGGAGGGGCACGACGGAGGCCCAGGAGGGGCGCTACAGGGGCCCAGGAGGGGCGCGACGGGGCCCAGGAGGGGCGCTAAGAAGCCCAGGAGGGGCGCAACAAGGCCCAGGAGGGGCGCTACGGGGCCTAGGAGGGGCGCGACGGGGCCTGGGAGGGGCGCGACGGGGCCCAGGAGGGGCGCTACGGGGCCCAGGGGGGGCGTGACGGGGCCCAGAAGGGGAGCTACAGGGCCCAGGGAGGGCGCGACGGGGCCCAGGAGGGGCGCTACGGGGCCCAGGAGGCGCGCGACGGGGCCCAGGAGGGGCGCTACGGAGCCCAGGAGGGGCGCGACGGGGCCTGGGAGGGGCGCGACGGGGCCCAGGAGGGGCGCTACAGGGCCCAGGAAGGGCGCGACGGGGCCCAGGAGGGGCGCTACGGGGCCCAGGAAGGGCGCGACGGGGCCCAGGAGGGGCGCTACGGGGCCCAGGAGGGGCGCGACGGGGCCCAGGAGGGGCGCTACGGAGCCCAGGAGGGGCGCAACGAGGCCCAGGAGGGGCGCTACAGGGCCGAGGAGGGGCGCGACGGGGCCTGGAAGGGGCGCGACGTGGCTAGGGGGGTCGCGACGGGGCTACAGGGGTGAGCGGAAGCGGTAGGTGGGGGGGGGGGATCCTACCTACGCGTGATACCATAACAGAATTGAGAAGTGAATTATGGATAGAATGAGAGTACACAGAGATATACCTAAGTGTTGTACTCTCTAAGAGGCGACCCTATACAGTCTATACAAACATGACAAATACACATGTTTGACAGAAACGACTGTCCTATGACGAGCGCTATTTGCTGACGTCATCATACGGACTTATCTTCTACAGTATGATTCGACACTAACTACACTTAATTGACTTACAGAAATGCTAAGTATCAATCATATCACAACACAGTAGAGTTCGATAACCTACCATGCCTACAAATCATATAACACAATATATAATTGAACATATAGGTAATGGGTTGTACTTTCTATGGAAAAATCCTATGTAGTCTACTAAACATACACAAATATATTTAACATACTCCACATAAAAAATGCAAAAATGGCACTTCTGAAACATGTGATTCTACAAATGAATAAACTAATGTGTCTCTCGAAGGCATGAAGAATAAATAAACTGGTTTCGCTTGATCCCTATAAAGCGATTAGACACCAAACATCAGGGGGTGGAGAATGAGGTGGAGCGAGCGATAGCAAGCATCTGGTCTGGTACGATTGTGAAAGTGCACCGAGATCGAGTTGTTGTCGACAGGTGGGACGAATGGTAAATGTTGACAGCTAGGGTTTCGGCCACTCAGCAAGGGGTGGAGGAGGTAGCGCGAGCGCCTGGTAGGATTGTGCCAGGGCGCTGAAATCGAGACTAGGAGACGAGCCAAAGCTAGGACGAGGACGAGGGTCGACAGCTAGGGTTTCGGCTGCTCAGCAAGAGGTGGAGGAGCAGGAGGTGGAGCGAGCAATAGCAAGCATCTGGTAGGACTGTGCCGGGGCGCCGAGATCGAGGACCAGGAGACGGCGACTGTTGGAGCAAAGGTAACTCTGGTAGGTGGTGGACGGGGAAAGCACCGTTGACGAGCACCTGGGAAAGAGGGGAAGCAATAGGGGCACCATGAATCGAGAATTCTGGGTGTAGGAGTTGACGATTGTTGGAGCAAGTGAAAATCTGGTAGGTGGTGGATGGGGACAGCACCGCTGATGAGCACCTGAGACGGAGGGGAAGCAACAGAGGAAAGCAGTGGGGACACATGAATAGAGAATTCTGGGTGTAGGAGTCGATGATTGTTGGAGAAAACGTAACTCTGGTAGGTGGTGGTTGGGGACAGCACTGTTGATGAGCACCTGGGTAGGAGGGGAAGCAACAGAGGAAAGCAACGGGGACACATGATTAGACAATTCTGGGTGTAGGAGTCGACGATTGATTGTTGGAGCAAATGTAACTCTGGTAGGTGGTGGTTGGGGACAGCACCGTTGATGAGCACCTGGGTAGGAGGGGGAAGCATTAGAGGAAGGCAACAGGGACACAAGAATAGAGAATTCTGGGTGTGGTATTCCACGATTGTTTGGAGCAAGTGTAACTCTGGTTAGGTGGTGGTCGGGGACAGCACCGTCGACGAGCACCTGGGAAGGAGGGGAAGCAACAGTGGGGAGTAATGGGCGCACATGAATAGAGAAGTTTCAGTGCAGGAATCGATGATTGTTGGAGCAGAGGTAACTCTGGTAGGTGGTGAATGGGGAAAGCACCGTTGATGGAAGGGCTGTAGGTGGCGACCCACTGAGTGGCACTGTCCTTGGGTTTCATCAGGACCGTGACTCGCCCCTCACACACCCCCCCACGTCCCTCAGCCACAGCAAAGCCAGTCAACCACCGGCCAGCAGCATCCTTTGCCTTACCTGGTGGGAGGGCTGTAGGTGGCGACCCAGTTGGTTGCAGTATCCTTTGGCTCCATCGAGACCTTCACTCGCCCCTCACACACACCCCCCACGCCCCTCAGCAGCTCAGCAGCAGCACTGTTAGTCAATCACCAGCCAGCAGCATCCTTTGCCTTACCTGGTGGGAGGGCTGTATGTAGCCACCCAGTTGGTAGTGGTGTCCTCTGGCTCCATCAAGACCTTCACCCGCCCCTCACACCAGCCCACCCCACGTCCCTCAGCCGCACGGCAATCCCATCTGGATAGAAGCTAGGGTTGGAGGGGGGAGCGACGGGAGGGGAAAGGCGAGAGGGGAGAGGCGGCTGGGGCGACTGGTGGCTTACCTGGTGGGAGGGCTGTACGTAGCGACCCAGTTGGTAGTGGTGTCCTTTGGCTCCATCAGCACCTTGACCCGCCCCTCACACCCCCCCACGTCCCTCAGCTGCACGGCGATGCGATCCGGATAGAAGCTCGGGTTGGAAGGGGGAGCGACGACACGCACGCTGTAGGTGAACCCAGCTTCCAGGGTGGCTGAAATCCACCTGTGGGGGGGAGGCAGGACGGGTGGGAGCAAGTGAGAGTCATGCATGGGGGGAAGATGCCTGGGTGGGTGGGTGGGTTGGAGAGGTGAGCCACGAGGCGCACGCGGTAGGTGAACCGGGCTTCAAGGGTGGCTGAGATCCACCTGTAGGGGTAAGACAGGGAGGGTAGAAGTAACAGTCCTGCATGGGGGGAAGATGCCTGGGTGGGTTGGAGAGGGGGGTGACGACCAGTGGACAGTGGACTTGGCAGGGATCACTGCGATGGGATCGTTCTGGAACCCGTGTGCCACGAACTGCGCCCCATCCTCGTCCCTCGTGATCACCAGGTAGCTGTAGGGCCGCTGGGGAGTGCTGTAGCAGCACCAGCAACATACCTGAACACTAACCAACGGATCACCCACCTGCGCACAGTGGACTTGGCAGGGATCACTGCGATGGGATCGTTCTGGAACCCGTGTGCCACGAACTGCGCCCCATCCTCGTCCCTCGTGATCACCAGGTAGCTGTAGGGCCGCTGGGAGCTGCCCCTCACAGCGGCGGGGCCGGTAGTTTCATAGAAGGTGGCCGAGAAGGAGTGGAAGCAGGTCCCGGGGCACGTGTACCCCCACGAGAGGTCCTTGTACTGGCAGCCAGCAAGGGAGCTGGCTGGTTTTTTGCTCCCCGCCTGGAGACTGCTCCGCTTGCGAGCCGCCACCGTGGCAGGAGGCTGGATGGGGGAAGAATAGGGAGAAGAAGTGAGGGGAGGTGTGAATGGAAGGTGGGTGAGAAGGAGTGGAAGCAGGTCCCGGGGCACGTGTACCCCCAGGAGAGGTCCTTGTACTGGCAGCCAGAGAGGGAGCTGGCTGATTTCCGACCAGATGGGAGGCTCTTTTGCCTGCTAGCTAGCCACAGTGGCAGGAGGCTGGGCGAGGGAAACAGGGGGGCGGAAAACAGGGGGATGGTGGGAGGCGAATGGGGAAAATGGGGAGAGGGAGTGAGTGAGGGGAGGTGTGAGTGGATGGAAGGTGGGTGAGAAGGAGTGGAAGCAAGTGCCGTGCAGGGGGGCACGTGTACCCCCAGGAGAGGTCCTTGTACTGGCAGCCGGATAGAGAGCTGGCCGGTTTTCTCTTACTCCCACTAAGGCTGTTCTGCTTGCTAGCCACTGTGGCAGGAGGCTGGATGGGAAGGAAAGGGGGAGAGGGGGTGGGGGGGAAGGAGGGGAAAAGGCGGGAGCGACAGTGGGTGAACCCCGGGAGAGGTCCTGGTAACGGCAGCCGGCTAGAGGGCTGGCTAGTCCCCCCCCCCCCCCGAGGCTCTTCTGGGTACGAGCTACTGTAGGAGGAGGCTGCATGGGGGAAGGAAGGGCGAGGGAGAAGGGAAAAAAGAGCGGGATATGTGTGAAGGGCGAGTGGATGACTCCCCAGGAGACTTTTGAGTCGACTCAAAGGTCACCTCATGGGGGAAGGATGAATCCCCAGGAGAGGATCCCGTACTGGCGTCTGGATAGAGGGCTTGCTGGCTTTCGTCCCGCATCGGGGCTGCTCTGCTGGCGAGCGATTTTTTAGAATTCTAAAAAGTCGCTTGCTGGCTTTCTTCCTGTGTTGGGGCTGACCTGCTTGCGAGCCACTCTGCTTGCAAGCCACAGTGGCAGGAGGCTGGTTGGGGGGAGAATGGAGAGAAGGGAAGGGAGAGAGGAATGAAGGAAGAGTGGGAGAACCCCCAGGAAAAGGTCCTCTTGCTGGTTTTGATTCGTCTCAAAATCCCCCAAGAAAAGGCCCTTTTTGCTTTCTCCTAGATGGAAGGCCCTTTTGCCTGCAAGTTGTAGTTGGTGTGCGGATGGGGAAAGGGAAGGTGGGAAAGAAGGGCGGGGAGGGGGGTGGGTGGGTGGAAGGTATTATATAAATTTATACCCTGGTGACATGGTGACATGGTGACATGGTGACATGGTGACATGGTGACATGGTGACATGGTGACATGGTGACATGGTGACATGGTGACATGATTCATCACCAAACAGAACATGTGAGGTTTGTCTATTATCCATGATAAGCCGTCTCACCTTGGTGAGGGGTAAGGCGAGATGGCAGATCAGTGGATTCCCTCGGAAGCCACTGATGAGAGAGTGCTGTGCTGTGCTGTGCTGTGCTGTGCTGTGCTGTGCTGTGCTGTGCTGTGCTGTGCTGTGCTGTGCTGTGCTGTGCTGTGCTGTGCTGTGCTGTGCTGTGCTGTGCTGTGCTGTGCTGTGCTGTGCTGTGCTGTGCTGTGCTGTGCTGTGCTGTGCTGTGCTGTGCTGTGCTGTGCTGTGCTGTGCTGTGCTGTGTGTGCTGTGCTGTGCTGTGCTGTGCTGTGCTGTGCTGTGCTGTGCTGTGCTGTGCTGTGCTGTGCTGTGCTGTGCTGTGCTGTGCTGTGCTGTGCTGTGCTGTGCTGTGCTGTGCTGTGCTGTGCTGTGCTGTGCTGTGCTGTGCTGTGCTGTGCTGTGCTGTGCTGTGCTGTGCTGTGCTGTGCTGTGCTGTGCTGTGCTGTGCTGTGCTGTGCTGTGCTGTGCTGTGCTGTGCTGTGCTGTGCTGTGCTGTGTTTTGCTGTGCTGTGCTGTGCTGTGCTGTGCTGTATTTTGCTGTGCTGTGCTGTGCTGTGCTGTGCTGTGCTGTGCTGTATTTTGCTGTGCTGTGCTGTGCTGTGCTGTGCTGTATTTTGCTGTGCTGTGCTGTGCTGTGCTGTGCTGTATTTTGCTGTGCTGTGCTGTGCTGTGCTGTATTTTGCTGTGCTGTGCTGTGCTGTGCTGTATTTTGCTGTGCTGTGCTGTGCTGTGCTGTATTTTGCTGTGCTGTGCTGTGCTGTGCTGTATTTTGCTGTGCTGTGCTGTGCTGTGCTGTATTTTGCTGTGCTGTGCTGTGCTGTGCTGTATTTTGCTGTGCTGTGCTGTGCTGTGCTGTATTTTTGCTGTGCTGTGCTGTGCTGTGCTGTATTTTGCTGTGCTGTGCTGTGCTGTGCTGTATTTTGCTGTGCTGTGCTGTGCTGTGCTGTGCTGTATTTTGCTGTGCTGTGCTGTGCTGTGCTGTATTTTGCTGTGCTGTGCTGTGCTGTGCTGTATTTTGCTGTGCTGTGCTGTGCTGTGCTGTATTTTGCTGTGCTGTGCTGTGCTGTGCTGTGCTGTATTTTGCTGTGCTGTGCTGTGCTGTGCTGTGCTGTATTTTGCTGTGCTGTGCTGTGCTGTGCTGTGCTGTATTTTGCTGTGCTGTGCTGTGCTGTGCTGTATTTTGCTGTGCTGTGCTGTGCTGTGCTGTGCTGTATTTTGCTGTGCTGTGCTGTGCTGTGCTGTATTTTGCTGTGCTGTGCTGTGCTGTGCTGTGCTGTATTTTGCTGTGCTGTGCTGTGCTGTGCTGTATTTTGCTGTGCTGTGCTGTGCTGTGCTGTGCTGTATTTTGCTGTGCTGTGCTGTGCTGTGCTGTGCTGTATTTTGCTGTGCTGTGCTGTGCTGTGCTGTGCTGTATTTTGCTGTGCTGTGCTGTGCTGTGCTGTGCTGTATTTTGCTGTGCTGTGCTGTGCTGTGCTGTGCTGTATTTTGCTGTGCTGTGCTGTGCTGTGCTGTATTTTGCTGTGCTGTGCTGTGCTGTGCTGTATTTTGCTGTGCTGTGCTGTGCTGTGCTGTATTTTGCTGTGCTGTGCTGTGCTGTGCTGTATTTTGCTGTGCTGTGCTGTGCTGTGCTGTGCTGTATTTTGCTGTGCTGTGCTGTGCTGTGCTGTATTTTGCTGTGCTGTGCTGTGCTGTGCTGTGCTGTATTTTGCTGTGCTGTGCTGTGCTGTGCTGTATTTTGCTGTGCTGTGCTGTGCTGTGCTGTATTTTGCTGTGCTGTGCTGTGCTGTGCTGTATTTTGCTGTGCTGTGCTGTGCTGTGCTGTGCTGTATTTTGCTGTGCTGTGCTGTGCTGTGCTGTATTTTGCTGTGCTGTGCTGTGCTGTGCTGTGTTTTTTGCTGTGCTGTGCTGTGCTGTGCTGTATTTTGCTGTGCTGTGCTGTGCTGTGCTGTATTTTGCTGTGCTGTGCTGTGCTGTGCTGTATTTTGCTGTGCTGTGCTGTGCTGTGCTGTTTTTGCTGTGCTGTGCTGTGCTGTGCTGTATTTTGCTGTGCTGTGCTGTGCTGTGCTGTGCTGTATTTTGCTGTGCTGTGCTGTGCTGTGCTGTGCTGTATTTGCTGTGCTGTGCTGTGCTGTGCTGTGCTGTATTTTGCTGTGCTGTGCTGTGCTGTGCTGTATTTTGCTGTGCTGTGCTGTGCTGTGCTGTGCTGTATTTTGCTGTGCTGTGCTGTGCTGTGCTGTATTTTGCTGTGCTGTGCTGTGCTGTGCTGTATTTTGCTGTGCTGTGCTGTGCTGTGCTGTTTTTTGCTGTGCTGTGCTGTGCTGTGCTGTATTTTGCTGTGCTGTGCTGTGCTGTGCTGTATTTTGCTGTGCTGTGCTGTGCTGTGCTGTATTTTGCTGTGCTGTGCTGTGCTGTGCTGTATTTTGCTGTGCTGTGCTGTGCTGTGCTGTATTTTGCTGTGCTGTGCTGTGCTGTGCTGTATTTTGCTGTGCTGTGCTGTGCTGTGCTGTATTTTGCTGTGCTGTGCTGTGCTGTGCTGTGCTGTATTTTGCTGTGCTGTGCTGTGCTGTGCTGTATTTTGCTGTGCTGTGCTGTGCTGTGCTGTATTTTGCTGTGCTGTGCTGTGCTGTGCTGTATTTTGCTGTGCTGTGCTGTGCTGTGCTGTATTTTGCTGTGCTGTGCTGTGCTGTGCTGTATTTTGCTGTGCTGTGCTGTGCTGTGCTGTATTTTGCTGTGCTGTGCTGTGCTGTGCTGTATTTTGCTGTGCTGTGCTGTGCTGTGCTGTATTTTGCTGTGCTGTGCTGTGCTGTGCTGTATTTTGCTGTGCTGTGCTGTGCTGTGCTGTATTTTGCTGTGCTGTGCTGTGCTGTGCTGTATTTTGCTGTGCTGTGCTGTGCTGTGCTGTGCTGTATTTTGCTGTGCTGTGCTGTGCTGTGCTGTGCTGTATTTTGCTGTGCTGTGCTGTGCTGTGCTGTGCTGTATTTTGCTGTGCTGTGCTTGTGCTGTGCTGTGCTGTATTTTGCTGTGCTGTGCTGTGCTGTGCTGTATTTTGCTGTGCTGTGCTGTGCTGTGCTGTATTTTGCTGTGCTGTGCTGTGCTGTGCTGTATTTTTGCTGTGCTGTGCTGTGCTGTGCTGTATTTTGCTGTGCTGTGCTGTGCTGTGCTGTATTTTGCTGTGCTGTGCTGTGCTGTGCTGTATTTTGCTGTGCTGTGCTGTGCTGTGCTGTATTTTGCTGTGCTGTGCTGTGCTGTGCTGTGCTGTATTTTGCTGTGCTGTGCTGTGCTGTGCTGTATTTTGCTGTGCTGTGCTGTGCTGTGCTGTATTTTGCTGTGCTGTGCTGTGCTGTGCTGTATTTTGCTGTGCTGTGCTGTGCTGTGCTGTATTTTGCTGTGCTGTGCTGTGCTGTGCTGTATTTTGCTGTGCTGTGCTGTGCTGTGCTGTGCTGTATTTTGCTGTGCTGTGCTGTGCTGTGCTGTATTTTGCTGTGCTGTGCTGTGCTGTGCTGTATTTTGCTGTGCTGTGCTGTGCTGTGCTGTATTTTGCTGTGCTGTGCTGTGCTGTGCTGTATTTTGCTGTGCTGTGCTGTGCTGTGCTGTATTTTGCTGTGCTGTGCTGTGCTGTGCTGTATTTTGCTGTGCTGTGCTGTGCTGT